TATCAATTATATTTTAATAACTGTACGTTGAAGCATGCTCTTCATAAAGTCATGAGTTATTTCTAGTTAAGTAAGTCAAATTTTCATATAAATGTGCACCACAATAACAATTCCATTACCATGAAAGAAATCGAAAATTGTGTTTAAAATAGAATCTACGATATACGTAAATAAAAATAAAATCAATTAGGCAACAATTATACATGCTTGAAGCGACAAACCGTTTGTGCTGAGAAATAAATTAACTACGAGTACAACTTGACACGTAAATAAAAGTTCATTGTCACAAAATATTTTCGTAATAATATTCTATGTCATAAAATAAAATATGTGACGTATATAAATAATCACGAAATAAATTAGGTAATAACTATACTCGTTGCACAAATGATGGCGCAATAAACTATTAGTGTTGCGAAATAAATTTAAATACAAAAATCACTCGTTACATAATATTGTACTACAAATATTGAATATATTAAAATACATTATGCGACATATCAAATACATTGTAAAACATATTTCACGACAATTATTACTTGTCATTAAAAATATATTACTACGTGCATGTATTGTTGCAAAATAAAATAGGTAGCAAAAGTTACACCTTTAAAAGAATGTTTGCAACAAATATTTTTCTTGCAAAAACTTTATTGGAATAATTGTTGCAACAAACTATTGTGTTGCCATATACGCATTGCGAGGACATTATAGTTACAAATATCGTGTTGCTGCTTTATATTTTTTGCGGCAAATAAATAATGTTGCGATTTTGTTAATGCGATGAATGGTCGAAAATAGTCGCAAAATATATTTGATGACTCAACATTCGCAACAAACATATTTCTCGTAAAAATTTTATTGGAGTATTCGTTGCAACAAACGGACTTGTCTCCCTTTAAATTTTTCGGGACATATATACATTACGACGACATTATGGCTACAAATATTGTGTTGCCATTTCGTATTTTCTACTTCACGCAAATAGAGTCGTGATTTTGTTAATGCGATGAATGGCCGAAAAGTGTCACAGAACACATTTTGCGACTTATATAAAGCAACAATACCCGTAATATTGTCATCGCTAAATTACTTTTGCAACAAAATCTCAATTTTTGTGGCAACATTTTTTTGTTGCGAAATCGGTTATGTTTTGTAGTGCAACTTATTTATCAATCACGAAAGCACAAAATTTGTATGTCACAATTATAAATTTAATTACAAATCATAAATTTTTTAGATCAAATATTATTTATTGGTCACAATTTATCCATTTTTTTTATCACAATTACTTAATAATTGGTCACAACTACTCTTTATTCGACCTATTCCGCCACTTCCACCAATCCCACCACACCATCTCCATCGACATCAGCACCCCAGTTTCCAAATTGCTTTTCTTCCTATTCTTTCCATCTCACCACCACCTCCATCATCACTACCACCTCAATCACAACTAAAAAGATTTGTAAATATTTCTTGAGATATAAATGATATGAAGTAGAGATAAAGAGTAAAAACCATCGAAAGTTAAAAACTAAACTATTGAGAACTTAACAGTGTATTTAATTGCAAGCATGAAATTTATATGGAAAGAAAATAAATTCTAGTTAAATCATCATTCACCAACATTTATCTCTAATTACTACTTGTTTTCTTAGAAATAAAGGGTTACTGACTGTTTACCCACTTTAAAAAAAATATCCATCCAGCTAGGCAAAAAAAGTCCACATGTCCGATGGAAATCATATGTGGCCACAAACGCTTTTAAGAAATGACATTGCATTAGAGTAATGCTATACAACTCCACTAGGGTTGCAATCTCAGTTTAGGTTATGCTAAATAATCGGTTAAATAATAGGTAGCATTGCATAAGTCATTTAATTTCACTTATCATTTAATGCCACATTAACGCCATTTGGACTGGGGTTGCAACCCCAATTAGACTAAATAGCATTGCTCTTTGCATTAATAGTGCTTTATCTCTATAAATGGAATAATCAATTTTGTAAATTCTCCAGCCCTTCTTCATAAGAATTTGTTCTATGTAATATTTCTCTTATTGGCCTAAGCACCGAAGGCATCCATCAGAGTTTAAGTCGACCCGCTTCCCCAAAACATATTTTCTCCAAGCTTAAATTCACATTCTGCAAATGAGTACAATAGTTGCCAGTCTTATTTTCTCTGTCCAGCCAACCATTTTGCTTAGTTTTCCAATTAAGTGTCCCAAGTCAAAGGAAATCTCATCTTTGGTGCTCTCAATTGTGTTCGTACAAGAATTGTATGGTCTCTCCGATGCAATTCCAGCATAGACTTTTTGACATCTTGTTCACAAGATTTCTTCCCCAATTCAAAACCATATGAATTTCTTCCCTAATTCAAAACCACATCAATTTCTTTTCCCAAATCATTTTTATCCTCCAAATCAATATTATCACAAAAACATATCTCCGAATCACCCAAAAGCACCCTCTAATTGAAACGAGCTTCAAAGAAAATTCAGAAATTTAGGTCTTTTAGTTAGCAGGATGTTGTTTGTTATTTGAATTGTAGGAAAAGGTAATGGGTAGGTATGGTGTTTTGAACATGTTGTTGGTAGGTTCTTACTGATGTTTTGGTAGTTGTATGTTGGTGATAATGTAGTAATGGTGATGGTGTTGCTGGTCCTGTGATTTTGGGAGCTCGAGGTTAACTTCATAAATTAGGCCCTTGAAAATTGTATTATGCATGCAATATGTATAAGTGCATTATGGAACTTATTGTTAACTTAAAACTTAATAGTAAAACAATAAACAAAATGTATTATATAAAAAAAATTATAATCAAATAAAAAAATAGACAATGTTCCTAATGTTCAATTAATTACCATTCGCCTTACATTTTTAGAGGCAAAAATAGTAATCAAATTTGAATAATCTAGCTGTTCAATCTTTTTTTTTTTTCAATTGATAACATAGCTAATCCATTCAGTCTTTTTTGTAACATGGTTGATTGAAGATAAGCCTTAATCAACTTCAATTTGGAGAAACTTCTTTCTGCGGATGCAATTGTAACTAGAATGGTTAACAAAATTTTATAAGAAATATAAGCATTTGGGAAACAACCATTCAATGTCTTCAAATGTTGTAGCACTTCAATTGTTCTCGTTGCTTTAGTTGGTATATAGCACTTCAAGATTAGTAACTATGAATATAAATCCTCTTCGTACAAGACTTCAACAAATTGGGAAAGGTTGCAAGCCTTAACCTCTCCACATAAAATAAAAATCCAAACATCTCTTCATATTGTTTAAATTATTCAAATCAAGTCCTTAGAAAAGATCAAGCTTGATCGATTATAAAAAGAAAGTATTCAACACTAAAAGATTCCTCGGCTAATTACTTTATCTCATCATTGCCACTTTCACCAAACTACTTCTATTTCTTCGATTTATGCATTTCTCTTGAAATACAGCTTCAATTCCCGTTTCATTTGCCTTTTTCATCACTTCATCCATGGCAATAATAAATCCGATTTCTCTATAATTTTTAAGAAATGAAACAAGTCCTTATAAGAGGTCGATAGAACCATCAATATTCATGTTTTCAGTTTGAAGAAAGGGTAATTGGTACAAAACGTCCCGACCTTTCAAGTTTATTGTTGAAAACATTCCTACCTTTCATTTTTGACATTTTTGTCACTACCTTTCACATTTCTTTGCACAGAAGGTCCTTTTGACGATTTTACCCTCCATTGAAATGAAACAAAAAGAAAAGAAAAGAAAAAATAAAGAATTAATTGCAATTATAGTCCCAAATTTTTTCAAAAATTATAAATTAATCATAATTTATTGTAAACTAAAAAAATTTAAATTTAAATAGAGAAGAAACTTGAATGTACAGTGAAATAGTCAAGAAATGGGGAAATTTTTTTAATTTAATCATAACCAATGGAAATGAAAGATTTTGAAGATTACGTGATTTTTGCCTCAAGCCTTCCATTTACTTTTCACTGAATAAAAATTGAGATTTATGCTTACCCATTTTTGAAGATTTTCAGTTTCATTGGCTATGGTTCAAAAATTTCTCTATTTCGTGATTATTTCTCTGTACATTCAAGTTTCCTTTTTTTTTTTTTTTTTTTTTTGGAAAAATTTAAAATTTTTTAGTTCACAATAAATTGTGACCGATTTGTCATTTTTTTGAAGATTTAGGACTATTATTGCAATTAGTTCTTTTTTTCTTTTTTTTTTTGTTTTTGTTTGAAAGAGGGTAAAATTGTCAAAAAAAATAATGAAAATGACCTTTTGCGCAAAGAAATGTAAAAGGTTGGGGCGAAAATGTCAAAAAATGAAAGGTTGGGACATTTTACACAATAAATTTGAAAGGTAGGGAGGTTTTGTGCCAATTACCCTTTGAAGAAATTTACTTACACTATTGATTGCATGCAACAACCTTTACCAAATTATAATGCCATGCAAGAACTTAATTATGAAGGTCATATATTGTTAAAGACTCACCTTCACTCATTATTTTAGGATCTTCATTCATTTCTAGCAAGTCAACTAAATTTTCGTTTATTTGTGCAGCTTGTTCCATTATAGGCTTTATACTTTCAACTTGACTTTTCCAATGTGTTTTTGACATTGGCTTCACTGTCAAATCTTATACATTATCTTTAAAAATTTTCCATCTCTAGGTAGAAGAAGAGAACAATGCGTAGTTTCGTTGTATCACTTCAAAGAAGAATACGGCTTTGGGACAATAATTCACCATATCACATAATGCCTAATTAAGACTATGACACCATTTGGAGTATAGAAATCTCTGTGATTCATTTCAAGTAATCTTTCTTTGTACACATTTGTACCTCCCGCTCATGTTAGATCAGTTGTCATACCCTTGTCATCTAATATTATCAATATCAAGATCGAGGTTGATTAAGACCTTTTGAAGCTCGGTTGCCAATCCAAGTCCTGATGTATCATCCACCTTCAAAAGTCAAGACAATATTCTTCTAACATCAGTAAGTTTGATGAATTATCTATATATTGTATTATTAGAGACATTTGTTCCTCGTGACTTTCGTCTGAAATATTTTGCATGTTTAACTTTCTTGATAATTGAACTTCTCATCTCATTAGCCAACAATTGTATAAATTCATTTTAAATTATTTTACCGAGATATGTATATTGAATGTCACATGCTTTAGCATGCCCGAATGTCCTCTTGCGTTACTGGATCAAACTCGACAACCGTTTCTATGATTTGCAAAAATAGGTCATTGTTCTCAACATGAAATCTCTCATCTCCTCAAAATGTTAAGGTGTTTTTGGCAAGTCTTTTCACAATAACAATTGCCTGTCTCCAATGTTCCCTTTCTGCATCGATCACCAATTGCATGCTTTTGTCAATAGTATTTTTTTGTTCGAAACCTTTTTTCCAATTCAATCCAACTAGTCATGCAACATTTTATGTTCCTCATTTCCTTCATGACTTTAAATAGATTAGTACAAATTATGCAAATCTTTGTATCCATCATTAACTACATGGCCATTTTTGTCATAGTTTTCGGTGTTTTAAACAACTTGCGACAAAAGTAAAAGATCATGTCCGTAGATACTGAATATACTAGCCATGTTCTATCAATTGTCTACCCATTTGGTAGTAATCGCTTATATAGTGAAGAATCGAAATCTCTATTTGCACTATCTTTCGGAAACAAGATACCATCAAATTTTTTTTTGGACACATTTCTACTAAATAATCCCTCATTTTTTGATAAATATTTTTCCAATTCGCGGGATCCTCAAATGCAAACAAAAGCAACTCACTTGATTTAAATTTTACTTTGAACATCATCTTCTTCCTTCTCTTCTATCTCATTTACACTTATAGCGTGAATCACTTCTTCATTCTTAGTATATTCATTCACATTGTTTCTATTGAAGTACTTATCACTTCTTCTTCTGCTTGATCCTCCACCGAGGTAAAGTATCGCACTATTATTTTACATGGGAAGAGCTTTATTTAGGAACTTGGTGTAACTCTCAACTTTCCTCCTACCACTTCCTCTTTTATTTTAAAAACTCATCACTTTACTAACAAAATTACTATTTACCATTTCCAATCTCATCCTACAATATCTTCAATAATACAGATTTAAGTTAATCAATTATTAATGCACTACTTTATAGACTCGTAACTGCTGCTCAAAAGTTTTCAAGATAGGCAATATACCTTCACTGGCCCTGAGGGGTGGTGTGAATTTCATTGTCGAGTTTGAGAGATGAGTAATCTACGGTTGTGCTCACAAAGTTTTCAAGCAGGTCTCTTATGAAGCCAGTTAAGGTTTACGTCTTCTTTTACCACAACGATCTCCAACTTATCCAGATAATCCTCGTAGAATTTCCACAAATAGGCTATTTCATTGTCACATATCACACGTTCTAACTGCACAAGATCCATTACAGAAGGCGGCAGCTCAGATAAAGCCGTGCAACCCATCATGCGTATTATTTGCAGCCCACATAAATCGCCTAGCCGCTCTGGCAAGTGGTCCATTTCCACACAGTCCGAGAGATCAAGGTACTTCAATTCCCGGAGTCCAGAAATTGATTCCGGCAACTCTAAAAGTTGTGTACAAGATTGAAGCCTAAGCACTTCTAAATTTGTCAGATTTCCCAGTTCAGGAGGAAGAGTAACCAACTCTTGACAATATCCCAATTTGATCTTCTTAAGATGGACAAGGCCACAAACCCATGCTGGTATTTCAACTAAGTCATCACAATACTCTATATTGATCTCGTTGAGATTCGGCCATGTATTGGAGATTGAAATTGGGCATACTTCGAATGCCTTCCCAATCTCACATGTGATCATGGATATTTTCTGCAAATTTTTTAGCTGCAGTATGAAAGGGGCAATAGAGGGGATGGAAATATTCTCCAACCAAAGTCTCTTTAGATTGTTTAACTGACTAGGCAGTGGAAAATTTTCTAGGATTGCTCGGGTAAAACCATAATTCGTCACTAATAGAACTGTCAGGCAACTCATTCTCTCCATAAATTCGGGTAAGGTATAGATTTTGACTTGAAAGTTCAGTATTAAAACCTTAACATCAGGTATTTGCACGTTAGACCAGTTTGAGCAGAATGCGTTATCTGCCAAAAAGAGGGTATTACATAACATATCTATAATTGAAAAGGGAAAAAATAATAAAGATTACTAACCTGTAGTGATAGACAGAATGCGGACATTGATGGGTTGATGATTTCGATCAGTTAGCCACTCAGGGAAGGCATTCCCATTTATTTCCACAATGAGTCGCTCTCTCCCTTCTATGGAACCTTGACTACTTTGGTGGACAGCTAACTCCCTCAGAAGATCATGTTGCATTACAAAATGCTCTTTGCAGTAGTCATTTGCATCTTGATCATCTTTTCTGCATACAAGAATGAGATAAGTCAATCACTGGAAATTTGTTAAAGAAACCTTGATTAACTATGATTTAAAATAATTGCCAATAAAATGATATGCATTTGCACATATTCAAAGATGGTGGTATTAATATAAGTGCTGGGAAAACACCTCCCAAAGATAGCCCAAAGATCAAACAAAGTTGATAATGTGAAAATTTCCAAACCACTTCAAAAACAAGAAAATGAGGAAGAAATGATTTCAATGGAATACGGATGGATCAAATTAACTGCCTAAAGTTATGGAGGTAGCCTTCCAGCCACATTATCAAAGTTCACTTCACGTGCTTCTTGCACTTCTCTTGTTTTTGTGGCATATTGACAAGGATAATTCTGTTCCACTTTCCAATTGTCTCAGATTGTCTTCATCTCTAGAAGCTAACCATTTTGCATAACTTCCACTTTGCATATATTCATTCACATTTTGCTTGTCTTAACAACACTCTCCAAATGTAGCATAATCCTCTAAAGATGAAACGGAAGGTACAAACCTTACAAGAGTAAGATTAACCAGATTTCTGTTTGAGAGTTCATGGAGATAGATAAGGGTATACATGCCACCTTCATCTAGGTTGTACAGTTCCACCCACATATCCTTAAGAGCTGCAACAGGGATCCTTTGATCTTCAGGAAATAAACCTAGATCCAAGAAACAATTCTTGAGTACTTCCATTCCGTCCAAGGCATCTAAGCTGGTTTTGAGGCGACTAAGCAAAACCATGTTGGTGTCGTAAATGGATTGCCCTTGGGACCAATTTTGAACTGTACTAATCCAATTCACCTGAGGCTGCCTATAAAGTGACCTGCCTACAACAGTAAGGGCCAATGGAGATCCTGAACAACCTCTGACCACCTGCCATGAGATTCCAAGAGCAACATCAGTTAAGTTTTAGAGTAGAGTAAATAAATATATAAAAAATTCGTTGAAATTTTTTTTACATATCCGTTCAAAAAAATTTAACATCTTAACCCAATAAAATGAATTTTGACATGAAAAATTGTCACTCTAGATGTAGTTTAATGCTTCAGGTAAAATAAAAGGCTATAATAATATGATAGAAAATTGAGCCACATACAGAAAAATGAACTAAGTTCAATATTGATGTTTTTGGTAGAATGCTCTAAAGATGCATTTTAGCAGAGATAATGCTTTTACCTCTTCTACAAGATGTTTTTGCACAGTGCAGATTCCATCTTTAAAGGCATGATGATGAAATAGAGTCATTGCATCTTGATGATTCAACATATTCAATTTGTAAGTCCATTCAAATTGCGGAAACACAAATCTCGATGTAACCAAGATTTTATATCCATGTATTGGAAGAAGAAACTGATCAATGAGTGACTTGGATCCTGGCCACATATCGTCCAGGACTAATAGTATGGGAGCTGGTCCTACTTGCTGCAGGAATAACTGTTCTAGTTGGTCTTCTGCGAGCATAGGGCTAGTTCGTTTTGGTTCTTGTTCAAACAATCTTCTTGTGATTTCTTGTTCTTGTAAAGTTTAAAGAGCACTTACACAAGAATCACCAACCTCTTAATAGATCACTCTTTTCCATTAAGCAGATTGCAAGTATTTGAAAAAATGCCAATTACAAAAAAGGAAAAGTAACAAAAAGCAAGTTCCTTAATATTAATAATTAATCTATTTGTACAATGATATTGTACAATATTGTTGACAATGATAGGTATGATGAAAAAGTGTTGGTTGATTACCTTTAATTTCATCATCATTACAGAGCAATTTCGCCAGTGTACTCTTTCCGCAGCCACCAGGAGCCGAAAGCACAACAATTGGCACTCCATCCTTAAGCAGCATCCCCTTCAGTTCCTGAAGCTGCGCGTCTAATCCAACGACAAAATCTGGAACTCCCGGAACACCACACCAACCTGAAACCCCATTTTTTTGTTAATAAAACCACCAAGTGAAGTTTCATTCATATTCACAAACTAAGTACAATTTGGGAGGGGAGAATAGGACCTGAAAACCCATTTGAGTTAACGCTACGACCATTATCTTGGGTAGAAATTATTTTATCATTTTCTCCTCAAGAACTTTAACTCCCACAGCAACAGTTTTGCCATCTCTAGACAACTCAACCTGCACATTTATCTGAAAAAACCACAGCAACGAGGCTTCATACTTTTCCAATTTCTTCGCATGCGAATACTTCTTGATTGCATTCCACCATCTGATTTCCATGCACTTGCGGATGAGTTTTTCGCCTTCCCTGAACAGATTGGCGAGCGCTTCTGCTCCCTGTTGTCGCCAGTTCAGCACTCTGTTTAGCTTCTCTATGTCGTCGATAAATGGTTTGATCGAAATCAGAGTCGATTTCAAGTGGTCGAGTTCAGAATTGAAACCCGCTATTTTAATTGTTACATCTAATACAGCTTGCATTAGAAGATCAAAAGCTACACCTGTAGCACCCCCTCCAACCAAATCCGCCATTTTTGCGCAGAAGGGAGCCCTAATTGAAACCTGTTATGGGAATTGAAAGGAAGGAAATGCTGATGAATGATATATAATCAAGAAAACCTGTACCAGCATGGACGTTTTCAAGTATCCTCCATTTTATATCAATGTTTGCCGAAGCTTAAAAAGTGGGTCAAAATTACTTTTAAGTAATTTAAATTTGCTAGTTTATTTTCGTTACAAGGACAGATGCCCAATTATGGTAATTCCCTTATTGAGATATTATTGGTTATGATTCTTAATTCATTGGTAACAAAATGTGACATTTAAATTGTTATTTTCGGTAGTCTATGCTCACTGTTACTTTGTATTCATTGAATATGAACTCAATTTTTCCTGTTAAAGCAATCTTTAATTACTAGTTTTTTTAAATTTGAGATACGACGAATGTATTTCTAATTGTTGAAAATACAAGCAACCATTCGTTTCTCTCGTGTGAAAATGTGACCCCATTTCTATCTTCACAAGTAATTAAAATATAATAATAATGTTGAAAATTTCATGATTATGACATGTATTATAAATTTTGACTTACCCATTTCCATAACTCGTACAACTAGCATTTTGTAAGTTAAAAGTTTTTTTTTTTTTAATAAAATCGATACATAACACATTAATTTCTAATTATCATAAGTGTACACAAATCGGTGAGCTTCCATTATGAATAAATGCATTATTTTACTTCACAATGTTTTAAATCGGTATGATTATCGATTCCTAAAAGAGAAAGGATAGAGAGTCAAAAAGTTGAACCAGGGTCGACCCAATGATTTTTAAAAAATTAAAAAATTTACATTTACAAAAATTAAAAAATATATATATATACACATTTAAAATTTTTAACAAATATACACACACATAGGTTGAACCAATTAAACCAAGAACGGGGCACAAGTTTTCAAAAAATCGGATGGTCTAACATGTTTTGAACAAATTTTTAATTAGAGATTTTTAAGTCTAATCGGACTGATTTTGATCCGATTTCCCATTTTCCTATTGAAACGATCGAGCCGGTCCGACTCTTAAAACATAGTTACACCATATCACCAACAATAATTGGTACACAAACCCAATAAATTAGTATATCGTTCTGTCAAAATAAATAAGTAAAATTTTGATAAAATATCAGCTTCTGTTTTGTCAATTTAATGCTGTATTATAGATGAGAAGTAATGAGCTCTCTTTTGCAGTTGGCATGGGCCATGGAGCCTTTATTGATTCTTGTCTGCTTTTTAATTTGCGACATAGCTTTCAAAAAGTTAAGAATCGTTTGTTTTTGAGAAAAACGCTAAAATGTTCGAGTCTTGCAAAACACGATTAACTGTGAAATCCACAATGTAGGAATAGGATTCTTTTGATTATTTTTTTCTTCCTTTTGTATTTTAAAGAGAGGAAATGTGATCATCAAAAGTTTAGTGAGAATGATATCATATCTATTACAAAAGGGCCTTTTGTTGGAATCGATCACGCAATAATTTAGTTTTGCTTATTCAAAATTATATTAATATATAATGGGCTTCGATTCTAACGGATTTCATCTAATAAATTAAATTTTTATGTAAGATCACATTTACGTTATTTAAATATTGTTTTCAACACAACCACGCATGTTCATTTATCCTTATCAAAATTTTGAGACGAGCATAATTTCATTAAATGCATAAATGGCCACGAAACTTTAACACTTGACATTTACATGTTATGGTACTATAATGAATTCCTAAATTTAAAAGCCGAAGTTAATAAAAAAAAATCGTATGTATATCATTTAAATCTCGTCTAATATGCTTGTGCATTACTGTACTGTTATTGATCATATAGAGTAGGATGCCTTTTGAGTTGGCATGCAATATTTTGTCGATTCTTGCTAATGAATTATTTTTGATGGATCTGTTGTATCCTATCTTTTTGCATCAGACTACTTTGTAATAACGTATGATCCTCATCGTCATTAGAGTAGCAAGAAACTTCTATCTATCTATTAAAAGAAATTAATTGCATCCTTGATGGAAGCTTCTCGACTATATTAGTTCTTGTTGGAGCTATAAATACCCGTCTGACAAAATTTTTGAGATTACAAGTTGGTGAAACTCGTGAAATATGTAGTTAAAACTTTGATAAAAATTGTTGATCTAATAAAACGTGCGATTAAAAATTAAAAAGCCTGTCTGGAGCTGCTTCTTCAATGGCTTTTAAGCAAAAGAAGAGTCGTTACCACAATTGTGGGTCCCACCTGAGAGATGGAAAGTAAAAAATGATAGCCACTGTTGAAAACTTACGATCAGAAAATCAATTTTTTTGTCACAAAGATCCGTCCCAAATAGCGTCAAAGTTTGAATTGAGGTTAATTAAGTCAACGGTTCACTTTGACTAAAAAAAACTATAATATTAGGGATGGGGGTTTTACTGCGTTTAAAATATTGACTAGACCTTGGTCTTTTTACACGAATTATTAATTGCAATGAAGAATTGACGAATACGACATTTTTTCATTGATTTGGTTTTATTCCCTTTTCGTTCAAATTCATTTCCCCTTCTCTCTTATTGATCTTTGACCTACATTGTGATGCAACACATGTTGGGATTTGGGAATTAAGAAATTATGGACCCCACCACAAGTCAAAGAATAGATATTCAAAGTTTCATACTCCTTCGACTCCAAGAAAACTACAATGAAACTTAATCGTAGAGGATTCAACAATTTCTATGCAGACATTTGCCACTTCACTTTCCTGCTGTTCATATTACTTTTGATGAAGTTTCCCATCTATAAGTTCTTTTTTTTGCCTTAGTAATAATAATATCTGACTAAATCAACAATGTCTCCATCTACATGACAAGTCACGAGGTTGTCAACTAAGCAAAATGTCGTGCAAGCATTCTCAGGAAACCGCACCCGAATAGGAACATGTCGCCCCTCTTCTGTCTATAACCGAGGTGATGAGGGCACATTCCACTGTTGGAATAATTCTATTGTGGGCTTCTCATTTGATTGTTTATTTTGCGGGTTAAATGTTTGACTCATAATGATATTTGTCATTAGGCCAAATTTATTAAATGATTAATTGGACATTTTACACCTTACGAGCTATATTTAATATGATTTGTTAATTTTAAGCTGGAAATATATGTAAACCCTAATTAAAGTTTAAGTCATAATGGAACGGCTTGTTAGTTTCCTATATAAAGATTAGGTCTCATCTCCTCTCTATATTGTTCTATTGGCTTGCCCCATTGATGGTTAATACTTTTTGAGGAATAGGATGAGAAGATTTAACTGCTATTATTTATATCAATCGATTTATCAATTTATTATTATTGTTATTCTTGAATTTTAACATGATTACAATTAAATTCAATAATTGATATTAGAGCCAATATGCTAAGATCAGATTCCTTTACAAGCAAAAAAATCAAATAAAATAAATAAATTGAAACAAAAATAAAATATTATTTCTGAATAAATTAATTGTTTACTTGGTATTTTCCCTTAGGCCTTTCCCAAAAAATAACTAAAATAAACAAAAATTATAAATAAGGGAAGATGATATTTTATTGCGGTCCTAAATTATTCCTCCTCCATCCCCACAATGCCCCTTCATAGCCTTTCCTCTGGCCCACCATAATAAATGGTAATTGATAAGAATAAGCAACCTTAAAATATTCCTGAATTGCCCCAAGAATAGGCAACCTCAATTTCTTCTGGGCTTCGTTTTCTTCCAATTGGCCAACTGGGTCGTCAGTCGGCAACCTAGATTTGTTAAAAATAAAAAATATATTTTGCATTAATGTTTCACGTGCATATATATATGTAAAGAAATCCAAACACCCAATCTATGTTTTTACTTGGAGTAATGCTATTTGCAGTCGCTCACTGCGATAGTCGCCCTACGTGATATACACATGGAAAGTGATTATTTGATGTATTAATATGATATTTTTTTAATTAATTAATGTATCAAATAACCACCTGTCATGTGTATGTCACGTAGGGCGACTGTCACAATGAGCGACTGCAAATAACATTATTCTTTTACTTGTGATGCCATCAAATTCGTTGTCAGTGTTTCCCTTTTTTGTTGTTGTTATTGTCGGCTTCCCTCTTTCATTTTTTTTATGCTTTTGATGTATTGATGTTGTCGAAGGAGGAAGGTAAAATTAGTAATTGGGTTGATGCGTAGTTAGATCGACGGCAGTCGGGTGAAACAAAAAATAAAATAAAAAATAAAAAATAATTTGCAGGTTTTGGTCCGCTGTGGTGGTTTTGAGGATGGGGGCCTCTCTTGCAATTTATGAGATGAGAGGCCCCTGTTTGCAATTATGAAATTAGGGTCATATTACAATGATTTAAAAGGAGAGCCTGTTTTGCAAATATTAAGAGAATGACCTGTTATGTAATATATATAATTGGGTTAATTTCACAAACGGTCACTAAAGTTACCAAAAAAATACAAAACGGTCACTAAAGTTTAAAACTTTCAGCAACGGTCACTGAAGTTCCGAACAGTTTCACTAATGGTCACTTAAGTTTAAAAACTTTCACAAATGGTCACTAAAGCTACCAAAATGATTGGAATTCAAACTTAAGGACCCAATCACGAGACCATACAATATTTGAGGACCTCAAGCGCAAACTTCCGACAAGTGGAGCATTTTCTAGGAAGGTGGTGAATTGTAAGGATATTGAGCCACCAAATTCGGACCACCACAACTTCAACCTCCGACCACCTTGGTCACCGAAACAGCATACCAACTTGAAATCATTACTTCACTCTTTCCAAAGTCACAATCGCGACGCTACCCACAATCGCGAACCACCACCCCTAGGACCGCCTCTTCATAGCTCATCCAATGAACCTATGGGTCATTGCCAATTTCGAAACAACATGGCTGAATAAAAAAAATTGGTCCCAATTTCGAACTAACACCGCCAATGACCACACACAGATCTACCTCCTTCAATTCCTCCTCCCCCACATCTTTGAATCACAAAACTGGTCTCAATCGAGTCTCCAGCAGCATCCTACGACCATGGGTAACAATTCAATTGCACCAATTAATCCATTTCAAGATGGTGGTGTCGCCATTCAATTGCCT